CATACTGGTAAAGATGCAAAAGCAGTTTGGAAAAATGATATTGGTGTGCCAAAAGAAGAAGTTGAAAAATCTGGTGATGAATCTGAAGATGAAGAATATGATCAGTTTAAAGAAACTAGTCTAAAGACAGGTAAAAAAAGGAAGACATATTTTCTTCCTTTCTTGTTTTTCTTTTTTCTTGTATTATGTGTTATTAAACAACTTTTTTATGTTTTAAGTACTATTTTGCATAATAAAGTAATATTTTTTTTACTCAACATAATATATATTTATATAATCTATTTAAAACTATAGAATTTAAACCGAATTTAATGTTTATTGTAAACACAATATTCTGTAGAAGAATTCATGTTCTAGGAATTTTGTTGATTAATATATTATTTTTTAAAATAAATTTTATCTTATTTGGATATTGCAATTTGTATCTCTTATAGATTAAGACAATAACTGGAAAAAATATTTCTATGTATTATTTTAGAAAAGATAACATTCTCAAGTGGAAAAGACGAACCTGATTGGATACGTCAGAGTGGAATAAAATCTCTGACAAAAGATATGTCAAAATATGGTCCATTGACGTTATATACTGTAAAAGTACGAGGACTTGCATACAAACACATAAAAAAGCATATTAAACAATTTTTTCGTCCTATAAAACCAAAATCTATACGAATCCCTCGCAAAATTAAAGGTATAGCTTATGTGGGATTCAAAACAGAGCAAGCCATGAAGAAAGCTCTTATGAAAAATAAGAGTTTCCTAGGTAAAAAAATTAAATGCAATTTAAAGTAAAATATACAAATTTACAATTTTAAAATATATAATTATTTTGCACATTTTTAAGTATATTTTTTATTTATGTAGAAGGCAAACAAATATTTGTATCCAAATACGAGCGAAAAGAGGAAGTTGAATCTAATAAGGGCTCATGTAATAAAACTAATATTAAATGGAAGAAACAAGAAGAAGCTTTAAAAAACGAAGAGAGTATAGCAGAATCTGGAAGAATGTTTATCAGAAATCTTACATATACAACTACAGAGGATGACGTCAGAAAACTATTTGAAAAATATGGTCCTCTGTCTGAAGTGGATTTACCTGTAGATAGAATGACTAGGAAACCAAAAGGGTTTGGCACAATAACGTTTTTAATGCCAGAACATGCTGTAAAAGCTTACAGCGAGTTGGACGGTTCTGTATTAGATGGTAGAATGTTACATATTCTTCCTGGAAAGACAAAAACTTCCTTAGAGGATATTGATACTGAAAATTTAACTTATAAACAAAAGAAAGAATTGCAGACTAAGGCAACTGCAGGTTCGTCGCATAATTGGAATACACTATTTCTCGGACAGAATGCCGTGGCAAATGCTATCGCCAGTCGTTACAACACAACGAAGGAGAAGTTATTGGAAGACGAATCGAATGGAATGAGCGCCGCGGTCAAACTAGCACTAGGAGAAACGCAATTGGTTCAAGATACAAAAATTTTCTTGGAAGAGAACGGCGTATGCTTGGATGCTTTTAATGAAGCACCAAAGAAAAGATCAAGTACCATAATTGTGTTGAAGAATTTGCCGGCTGAAACAAAACCGTATGAACTACGAGAAATGTTTGCCAAACATGGAGAACTTGCGCGTATTATATTGCCACCGGCGGGTATAACAGCGCTGGTTGAATTTTTGGAGCCGTTCGAAGCACGCAAGGCTTTCCGTGCATTAGCTTATACAAAATATAAGCATCTACCATTGTATTTAGAGTGGGCGCCAGATAACAGTTTTACCACACCTGCACCTAAAAATAAGACAATTGAAAGTAATGTGGCTACAAAAAAATCAACAGATTTGAAAGAAGTTAAAGATGAAGTAACGATAAAAGAATCTAAAGATAATAAGAATAATACGCTTAAAGAAGAAGATAACGAGCCGCCCGAATTAGATACAACACTTTTTGTAAAAAATATCAATTTCTCAACTACGGAAGAACAATTGAAAGATGTAAGTAATCAAAAAGTGTTACATATGATATCATTGTTTTCTGTGTAATAATACAACTTTACTTTTGTAGTACTTCGGCAAATGTGGTCCTCTTCATTACATCACAATAGCTACTAAAATGGATCCAGAAAATCCTGCTAGAAAATTATCTATGGGATACGGATTTGTAAGATACAAAAGAAAATGTGATGCAGATCGTGCGTTAAAAACGTTGCAGATGTCAGTACTTGATGGGAAGAGCTTAGAATTGAAAAGATCTGAAAGAACACTAATGTAAGTTATTTCTATGTTATTGAAAAGCTGTTTTTAAAAAATTTTTAATAATCGCGAGACATTTTAGATCTGATGTCAAAGCAACGAGAAAGAAATCTAAGATTACCGAACAGACTAGCACTAAAATTTTAGTACGAAATATACCCTTCCAAGCAACTGTCCAGGAAGTGACGGAATTGTTCAAGTATGTACACACATCACGCACGCACGCACGCACGCACGCACGCATGCACGCATATAAATGTCTTTATATGACATTGCGATATAATAAATAATTATAATTTTATAGATCGTATGGTGAGTTGAAGGCCGTACGACTACCAAAAAAACTGGTCGGCACTGAGAAACATAGAGGATTCGCTTTCATCGAGTATTATACCAAGTCAGATGCAAAAGTAAAAATTTTTAGTGTTTATTTAATTTGATTTAATAAAATAGTCTAACAGAAAAAATTAAATTATTTACAAACGATAAGGAACGAGAACTGCATTATTCTCGTATTAACTTTATGTGTATGCTGTGTGTGTGTGTGTGTATATATATATAATTTGCATTTTGTTATAGAAAGCATTTAAGGCACTATGTCAAAGTACTCACTTGTACGGCCGAAGATTAGTTCTTGAGTGGGCACAAATGGAAGAAGGTATTGAAGAAATTAGAAAACGTACTGCGAAACATTTCTACCAAGGTAATTAATTTTTTTTTATCTATTGTACTTTAATATAATAAATTGATTCGTATATTGATTGACACAATAGAAAATTGCATAATTCTGAAGATGTTTTAAATTTCTTTTCAGAAAATTCAACAAAACAGTTTAAGAAATCCAAGTTAGATCCCGAAAGTGTTGGTCTCGTATTAAATACGATTCAAGAAACATAATTTACAAATTATTTATAAATTATTCGATAAAAAATAATTCAAAAATTATCACGCGCGACTCTAAAACGTTCATTAAATTGTAAGAAAGTTAAGATTAGTATTCTTGATAATTCTTTTAGCATTTAATTATGTTTTGATCAATACTTATATCAACAATATTATCTACAATATTGTATATTAATGAATGATTATCGGAATCAATAGGTCTATTTTTTTTATAGCTAAACTAGTATATACTCTTTGTATTTAAACAGAAATACATTGATATATGTTTAAAATTTGGCGAAAGCGAGAAAAAGAAAATTCTGGCACAGTCCAATTAGCAATAAAAAAGAAATTAAATATTTTGCAACCCTTACATGTCTGTGTCGATTTTTATTCATTTTTACTTTACGTTGGTCAGATACTCGAGTTTGATAGTTAAAAGTCGAAAGAATTTTTATTACGTAACATTAATCTTTGCATCACATTTAAATGTAACCTTTTCTTTTTTTACTTTTCCAAGGAACGATTCTGGTTTTCAATGATTGATATAATAAGATATATTTAGTTATTTGACTGCGTAAGGGCTATGTATACACAAAAAAGCTTAAATAGTAAAACATAAGCAGTAAGGAAATCAACATATTGGATTTGCTACTATTTACGTTACGGCCAATTTGCTTACTGCTTAAGTTTTTTGTGTGCCATGGCCTTTACATTGATAACTTAAATAATTTTATAAAATATCTATAAAACAATATATTCTTTTTTTATCGATTAATAATTAGTGTAAATACATGTAAATAATAGTATTTATTAAATATTAAGTAATTTAGTATTTAAATATATTACAGTGAAGAATATAATGTGATATATGTATAAAACTTAAAAGTTTTATAAACATTAAAAGTTTTTTTCAACAGTCTTTTTATTTGCTTTTTTATATTTGTCAACGCTTTCTGCAATTTCGCTCAAATTTCGGCAACATCTTCAAATTTTCTTTTTTTTAATTGTATTCTTCAAAATAAAAATAAGCTGCATGAAGTCAAGTCTAGAGAAGAGGATAGAGATCGTAGCTAGTTTTTTTCAAAAATTGCTAAAAGAACAGAGTGTCAGGGTTTAGATTAATGAATCAAATCGAAAATATATTACAGTTCTAGGAACTTTTGGGCCATTTTATATATGTACATATGCATGTTAATATATTAGTTACATCTGTGATATGTACTATATGTATATATGTGTAGCGTGGCTGTATATTTCATTGTTATTATATGTATATAATACATTTTTTATAAAATATTCAATTATTATGTATGAATTTTGCTTCATAGCATATAAATATAATATTTAACATTGTAAAAAGTGGTACTTTCATTAGTATTGTCGAACGAGTGAACTTAGTTTATCGAAGTTCGTTGAAGTTTGTAAGGTATCACAACAAATTTTGAACATTTCATGAATTATTTATTTGTTGGATCAACAATTATTTCAAAAGAGTTAATTTTTTACTATATACATATATATATATATATACAATTATTTCTCATTTATATCTTTGAGAAGAAATAAATGAGAAATAATTGTATTGGTGTTGAATTGCGTTAAATAATTATATGTTCAAAGTTCCTTGTTCGACAATAATGTTCATTCACACCTAAAGCGTTACATGCCCAGCGAACAGAAGCGAACCGGCACCGACGAAGACAGCCGCGGTCGGCGAGGAAATGTCTTCCTTTCACCTCCACCACTATACCGCGCCAGGGATCTTGCACGGGCTCGGCATCGCGAAGAACTGGAAACGCGCCCGCGGTTCCGGTTGGTGGGGTCCAATATCGGTGGCATGTCCCACGAAGGTGCTGGCAGTATGAGAGACGACCCATGAAAGTAACAGTGTGCCTTCCGTCCATTTTCGTTGGGCTTGTGGTGCGATCGCCAGATAGACTGAGCCAGTCGTCTACTTATTGTCCTGGAGAACGGTACTCGTGCCTCGTCCCGCAGGTATCAATAGCGTCGCGTCGTCCTTCAGTGTCGTACAGATACAAGGTCGCGAGTGCAGCAACAAACGCATTTTGCCGCTGTGGCTCTGTGCATATTAAGCGGATGTATCTGATGCGCGATGTGTACTAGCTGAGAATCTCCTTACTGAAAATCTTGACTAAGTCATTGGGAGACTAGACTAAGCGATAAACATGGACTGGGTAAGAATCTCACCTTTGAACTGATGATAAGTCGAATCTTTGCAAATTAATTTTGCAAATTAATATTGACCCAAGAATCATTAAAAGTGTCCAATCTCTTGTAAACAACAAGATGTTAGAGTGTCACATTAGATGCTCGATCAGAATAAGACTGACATGTTGAATTATATAAAGAAGCAATTTTTAATTATATATATATATATATAGAAGATTATATAAAGAAACGATTTTGCATTATTATAGACTAGAAATCATTTTATTAATTCCACGTCTATAGAAAATTTATTCTGGAAGCGTTTTGTGATTTCTCTAAAACCTGTTTAAATATCAGTCGAAATGTCACGTTAGGTGCTGAATATATTAAGATTATACGAGAAACAATTTTTAATTTTATTCTCAATAGAAAACAATTTATTTTCATTAATCTATAATGTATCTAGAAGAAACTTGTTCTGAGAGTAATGATCATCTCTCTGAATAACTTTCTAATCGAACTAGAGCTGAGTGTTTGATTTAAGTGATTAGAATAGACAAGAATTAGACTTGGGCAAAGAAACGAAACTTCACTTTTATAGTGATAAATTGTTACCTTCAATTGATTTCTAATGATTAATATTTTTATTAATAGTAACATTCGGCGAAAGCAATGAGATATGGCTTTCGATAGTTCTTGCAATCGTCAAGGAGAAACACGCAATCCTCTCTTTCGTATCTCTACAATTATCATTTAATTAAAAAAATAGTTGTAGAAAAAACAATTGTAGGAAAAATTTAAGTTTAAGAATAAAAAAATATTTCTTGATCCGCGATTTCATCATGAAAATGTTGATATAAACTAATTTAAACGAGTTGGGTATTTTTAGTTTGATCCGAGAAGAAATTAATTTTAATACGTTGACTTTTTAGATTTCGATTTATGATATTTCACGAGCGATATGTTGATATATACCAGTAATTTCTAACGTCCGCTAGAATGTGTAGAATCTTCGAACGCGACGTTAATGACGGATGCACTCTCGGAAAAGTAATACAAGGACTATGTTTAGGCGGGAAGTGCAGACTTTCCTGCGCGAAATGTATGTTATCTTCGAATCAAACACGGACGCTGCTGATGCCTGCGCCCAGCTATTTCAAGATGGTTCAAGATTTCGCAAAAGAATAATGTTTATTTGGAAATCATCAGGTCTCTGTGAGCGAGAGACTTGCATTTCGCTTGAATCCGCGTAATTATACCTCGGTCGTTATCCGTACGATTTGCAATTCTTCTCACTAGGAGTGTGTTACTGGAACGCGATGCGTAGACTAATTTCCGACCGGGCGAATAACGATTGAAATTGCATCAACATTAATGAGAAATCATGTTCGATTGCGGTCGTGATCGCGGTTTGTGCCCTACATGATTTCGCGTAACACAATCCGTTTTGGCGCGACTCGATGAGGCGAGGTAAGAGTTGCGCGTCGGAGGCTGAGATCGAATTCCAGAAGGAAAGATACATTCGCGTTGAGTAACGCGCAGGCGAGGGAAACATTTGACTTGCATATTCGCCCCGCGGTATCAAAACGCGATTATAAACAAGAACGGTGTGGAAAAGAAACCTTGAGAACTAAACGGGAAGCACAAATCTATGGATACGTCTGTAGGCAGGCGCTCGCTCCTTTTTTTCTTTTTTTTTTTTTTAACTCTTTGCATCTCACTAGTCACGCTTTCAACGAGTCCACGGTGTTAATGAGCACGAAAGTGAGAAGGAGTGGAAAGGAGACAAGGAGAGAAAGGAATATCTTCTGCGAGCACTCTCCTAATCTTATTCTAATCGGTATAACTGAAGAGTTGATTCGAGAAAAGTCATAATATTTAAAAAAAAAACAAGTTTAGGAGTTTAGGAATTTTAAGCTTCGAATTTTTTTAAAATGATATACCTATATTCAGAAATAATATAAAAATACAGTTTGAGAGTAAAGGTGAAAAGTGAAAGATACTATTACATAATATTAGTATATTTATATTCTCGTTAATTATTTTCATCTATTATCCATTTTTTTTTAAATAAATTTAAAATAAATTTTTTTTATTTCAATTTGTAGGGATTTTTGCTTATAGCTAAGGAAAATATTTTTTGCGAGTTGTAATGTTATTTTAATTGGTATAATTGACGAGTTAGACCCCAAAAAAGGAAACAAGAATATTATTTTTAAAGAAGTAGACTTAGAAGTCTCAAGCCTCGGGTTTTTTAAAAATAATATTGAGCGGGGCATATATGTCCAGGAATGGAATAAGATATAGTTCTTTGAGAGTATAAAGGTGGAAAGTGAAAGACAACGATACGCGTAATATTAATATACTTTTATTTTTGTTAATCGGTTAATCTATTATCCATCTACGATTTATTTCGATTTTTAATTTTTGCTTATGGTCAAGGGATATCTTCTGCGACTTCTAATTTTATTCTAATCGGCAACTAAAAGAATTAGCCCCAAAAAAATATTTTTTAAATAGTTAGCTCAGGAGCTAACTTTTTCAAACTTTAAGTTTTTTAAAAAAAGTACTGCGCGGGACATGTCTAGAATGGAATAAAAATATGAATCTTTGGGAGTAAAGATGAAAAGTGAAAGGCAGCGTTACGTAATATTAATACATTCATCTATCATTCATCTTTATTCAAAATAACTCTCTCTGATTTATTTTGATTTTTAACAGTTCTTGTTTATGGTCATATTTGCGATTATTACGTGGTCGCTGCAAGTTAAAATACTACAAGTATTAAGTATAAAAGCAGTGCTACCATAATTTTAATTAATTACCCCCGTTCAATTTTAAATAGCGAAAGTAAAATCGATTTTATTTGCATAATCTTATTTTAGCGTATTTTAATGTGTGCGTGAAGTATTATAGCTACGTTTTGCTATTTTGCATAACGGACGATGACTTTATTTCACAAATAGTGAAATCGTTATGTACTCTATTTTTAAATAAATTTTTAACCCTTTATCGGTCATATGGAATTTTGCCCCTTTCGTTAGCAACCCTAGTCTTCTTTGGCTTCAGTGCAGATTTTCTTATTGTTTCGAACTGTATAAAAATCTGAAAAAATTCTTGCATACTGCTTGTAAAAGCTCTAACAACGAGTTTTTACAAGTATGCAAGTTACGAGTTTTTAATTCATAGAAGTTGGATTGTATTTTACTTATTTTCTACAGATTTAAATTTATTTACAATTGATTATGCTTTCAAAGGCCGACTTGGCAGGCAACTAATAGATCTTCACGGAAAGGATAAACTTTAATGAGAAACATATACGAGTACTTGGTACGAGATGCTTTCGCGTCTTTTTCGTAGTCTTGTTCAAAGAATTCATCACTTCATTAATCGCTGATTATGCTTTACCACAGTGTGCATCGGATTTTGCATAAAACATTGAAAAAATCTTTTTGTTATATAATTATTAGGTGCGCAACTAAGTTCTCGCTGTTATTTTGATGAAAATGCAACTTGATTGTGAAAAAATGGTTACAAATGAATCATTGAAAGTATTGCCCATCGCTAGCTACTACTTTTTCCCATCTTTCTGGCAGAGCTCGAATACCGTTACGGTAAAACTGTTCATCTTTTGAGACTATCCACGAATCAAGCCATTTTTTGATGTCTTCATATGAGTCGAACTGCTGGTCAGCCAGACCATGTGCCATTGAACGGAACAAGTGATAATCGGACGGCGCAATATCTGGAGAATATGGCGGGTGGGGTAGGACTTCCCATTTCAGCGTTTGCAGAT